AATTAAAAATGTTTCATAAGCTGAGGAAAATTATATGTAAAACTTTAAAAGACTAGATCCATCATTATCTATCAAATAATCTGTTGTAAATAAAGTGTAAGGTAATTTGTTCATTTCAATTTTTGTCAATTATAACTGAGTCTTTTATCATGGTACTTTGTTTAAAATGTCAAAAATGCATTAATAGCTAGTACTTACATAAGTGTTTACTGTGTGCCAGGTCCCATTCCATAGGGTTTACACATTAATATGTTTATATTTACTCATCACTTAATCTTCTTAACAAATCAAGAAATGGAGGCAGAGAAAGGTTAAGTTACTGATCCAACGTATCACAGCCAACTGTGGCAAGGCCCAGGAGTCTGGCTGCTTTTAACCACCTATTGTTACATTTTGTTCCCGGGCAACTTCCCCAATTTTCCACAGAAACAGTGATCTTTCTTAAATGGTTTCAAGTTATATCATTCACTCTGTAGTCTTCAATAGCATTAGAGAGCAGAGTAAGTTGGAAGTTACTTATCCATGGGAAATCAAATGTAGTGTACAAGTTAATTGACAAGGAAAACTGTTTCCTATTTATCCTTCTCTATACCTTATGAAGGGGCACAGGTTAGACACTGTGGGAGACAGGTAGAGAAACAAATATTTCCAAATTTATATATATATTTCTAAAATTCTTCGTAAACCAATATGTAATCGTTACACTTTAGTTACGAAGGGACCTAAATCTCATCTTGTCTAATTTGATGCTTAAAACTCTTCATAACATTCCTACCAAGTGAATGTCCAAACTGTGCCTGTACCCTCCAGTATGATGGCTGAGTCTTCATTCAGCATTCTTGTAACAACCATTGAGTGCCTACCGTGTTCTAGACATGGTCCTGGGTACTAGGAAGACAGATGATAACATCGGGTAAAGACAAGTGCTCTCAAGAAAATAATGTAGGATTATGTTTAAACTATGATCTTAGAGTGTTTGTGGAACAATAAAAAGCCCAAGGTGACTACAGCATTTTGTGAAAGATAGAGGATGTTAGGAGACTAAGAAATATATAGGAGCTAAATCCCGAGGGTCTATAGGTTAGAGTCAAGACTTTGGGTTTTGTTTGGAGTGTTATGAGAAGCCATTGGAAGTTTTGAGGACAAGCATGTCATATTAAAGATTTACATTTAACAAGATTCCTTTGGTTGATATTTGGAATATTGGCTATAGGTAGGTAAGAGTGGGAGCAGGAAGGCCGCTGTGATAGAAAATATTTGGTGGCAGCTTAGACCAGCGTGACAGCAGTGGGAATCTTAGGCCATCAGTTTGGAAAATGTTGTATAGAATTGTAATCTGTCTCCTTCAAGTTTTTACTCAGTTATTTTTCTACTACTTAGACACATATAGGAAAAAAAATAATGCTTTTACACAGGACAACTCTTTACATATTTGAAGGTAACTTTTCATTTTCTGGGTGTTTATTTCTTATGACATCTTTTTCAGTTCCTTCATCACTTGGTCCTTTCCTACAGAGTCATAATATGTCTCCTTTCAAAAAGATGAGGCTTAGATTGAATGTACTGTTTTCTTATGGTCTAATCATCTCAGACTATGTAAGAGCTATCATTTCCCTTTTTCATATATAACATTCATATTAATGCAATCCAAGGTCTTCACAGACTCTCTTCAAACTTTCTTCTGTGTTTTCAGCTATTACCTATAAAACATATCTCCAGCTTAAAACATTATCCTGAATCATACTTCTATTTATAACTGCCTACAAGACATCTTTTTAAAAATATCACCAAGATAGCTCAAATGTAATGCATCCAAAATGGAATCTATCATTTTGCCTGTTAAATTAGTTCTTCATTAATTATTCCCTATCTCAGCTAATGGTACATCCACATACCAAGTAACTTAAATCTTGAAATTATTCAGAAATCATCTTTTACCATTAAATCCACTACTTCACTAACTTAAAAACCCTTCACTGTGGGATTCCATTGTCCTTAAGATAAAAGCGAACTTCATACCAGGGTGAAAAGGCTCTTTCAGACTTGGCTCCTTTCTCGGCCGTCAGCTTCATTTCTTATGACTCCCCCTTGCTCTCTTCAGTCCACCTAGGTAGACTTATTTCACCTTTAAAATGAGATACATGCTATCCCTTGCCTGAAAGCGATTTACCCATTTCCTATAGTTTGGAACCTTTCCCAGCATCCGTTGTCATCTTAGCTTACTAACTCCAACTTGATGACTTTCAGATCTCTTCTAAAATATTCTCCCTTAAGGAGGCCTTCCTGATCTTAGAGATGAGGTTAGGTCCCCCATTATGTATTCAAATAGCACTCTCTAAGTTCACATAATATTTATTAATGCTCATATCACTTCTGAGGTTGTAAGTACCATAAGACCATATCTATTTTGTTTATGGTTGTTAGCACCTAGCATAATGTTTGACACATTATGTAGGCTCTCAGTAAATCTTTGTTGATTGAATGAATTGTACTGTGGTACAATCACCATCACCTTGAATTACTTGTAATTCCTTGAATGTGTCGTGTTTTGAGCTATTGTGATGGCCCCCATGCAGTTTTCCTTTCCTGGACTACCATATGCCTTTTATTGTCTTGCTAACTTCCCAATTACTGCTCAAAACTCAGATCAATACATAATAAAAGCCAAAGCTGAAGAATTAATTAATAAGATGAAAAATGTATAGGCTTATATGTTTATGTTAATATTTGAAAAGGATTGAAAATAAAATGGGCTACTTAATTCAAAAAGAGAGAAAAACAACAAACCAATTGAAAAGTAGATTGAAAAACTTAGAACTGGTGTTTTGAAAAGCCTTCCTAGCAAAAAGAGAGACAGATGAACGAATATAGACTATATTATGAGTTTGAAATAGATTTAACCACAGAGATGGTAGTAGTTAAAATATGTACAATCCTATGTCAAATAAATTTGAAAAGTAAATGAAAAAACTGTTACCAGAAGTAACTCAACAAGTACTAGAAACATGAATGGACCAATAAGGGTAGAAAAACCAGAAATAATAGTTAAACCTAGTAGCCAAAAGGATATTGTGTCTAGATTATTAAGGAGCTACATTCTATCAAATCTTCAAAACAAATCTTTTGTTATTTAAATTGTCTTGATTATAGGAAACTATGAAAAGTTTCAATTTATTTTATGAGGCTAGCATAACTGGACAAGGATAACATAAGAAGGAAAATAATATTCCTAACTTACTATAAAAACCCTAATGCAAAGATTAGCTAATGGAATCCACATTTTAAAAGAACATAAAATAAGATTTATTATTCTGTGCTAAAATAGCTTGACATTAGTGAATCTGTTCTTATAATTAAGTTCATTAATATATTAAAATGGAAAAAAAATGCATGTTCCCCCCAATAGATGCTGAGAAGTCATGTGATAAAATTAAATAGTCTGTCCATTTAAAACCTCTTAGAATGCAAGATTTAGGAAGAAATTTGCTTACCTTCTAAAGGATATCTATCAGAATTATAAACATGAACTAGAACCATAAACAAGACAATGCTCTGGAAAATATAGTTAATGTGGTACGACAAGGAAAAAAATCCTATCTATTCCCCTGGGGGATATATATATATATATATATATATATATATATATATATATATGTCTAATTACAATTTCTAATTAAAAAAAACTAGTCTCTAATCAATTACAGGGTAATTGTAGTCATATGTCACAGTGAATTTAAAATTAAAATTATTTCACAGGGAAAAAGGTACATAGACAAAGTATTTTGAAACATTAATTTTAGAAATTTATTTACATATCTTGGAGGGAAGCAATTGATAGAGTTTACTTGGAATTCCTGGAAAAAAAAGAATGATTTGTTTTAAGGTGAGAGTGCTAAGTATACTTCAGAAAAATAATAATAAAAACCCCTGCTCCCTCCCAAAGTTGCTTTGTGCATATACAATGTAGAGAAGTAATATAAATAAAACAACATGAATTTTATCAAAAGAGCAAAATCCCTAAATAATTCCACTATGTATAATAATAAATCGTATACACATCTTACAAAACTAAATTGTGTTCCTCTTAAAAGTTGCCTTCTTTTTGCTGTCCTTTGACTAGTGTCCAATAGGCTAAAGGAATCTCAAATACATCTCTACTAATACACCACAATATACATACCTTTCAAATCAGGAGCTAAAGGCCTACTCCTGGGACTAGAGGTGTCTTCATAAGTGTCATAGTTGTCAAAATGGAATTTCTCTCTTCTTGAAATATGACCAGTTTTTGGTAGATCACTATGCTGACTACAGGTTTTTTCACTTAGATTTAAATAGTCCCTTTGCAGATTCCGCATCTCAAATTCCAAGGCATCCCTTTCATTCTCTATACTTCTTACATAGTTTTCTAAAAGTACTTTGTCTTCCTCAAGTCTGCTGATGCTGTTTTCAAATTTTATATTTTCTTGACTATGCTTTTTTAGTTCTTCTTTTAGAATCTGATTATCTGCTTTAATTTCCATTACCAGTTTTGATAACATTTCACATTCATTGCCCATTTCAGATAACCTATTCTTATACATACTTGCTTCTGATTTTGCATTTTTTATTTCCTTCAAAAAATTCTCTTCTGCATTAGATTGGTATGTTTGAATATTCTCAATTTCTCTTTCCATCATTTGTCTAGCAGCAGTAGATCCTTGTAATGTTGTTTCAAGATTAATTTTTTCATTTTTAACTGTTTCTATTATTTGAAGAAGTGCCTCTTGTTCAGTTTTTGCCAATCTTTCTTTCTCTTTTAGCTGCATTATCTCTAGCTTGTTTTCTTTTAGTTCATTTTCAAGTGAGCTTTTTTCCTTTAGAAGCTGGTGTGTTTTTTTCTCTAACATTTTCTTTTCATCTTGTATCAATAGAAGATTTGTTTTCATTGATTCCATGTCTGTACTCATTCGATTATTTTCATTATTGACAATAGCCATATCATTTTGAGTTTTGTGTTCCCTATCTTTTAGTTGATCGACTGTTTCTATTATTTGTTGCTTCTCCAAAGACAGTTGAGTATTTTTTTCCTCTAGAGTTTTATTTTGTCCTTGGAGAACATTGTATTTACCAATAATTTTTTTCAATTCTTTAAGACATTCTTTGCCATCTTCTTCTGTTTTAATTAATTTGGAGTGGAGAGTGTTCTTTTCTTCATCCAAATTCTTAAGTTGCTTTTCATACATTTCAATTTTCTGTATCAGAGATTGTGTGGTAAATACAAGAGGTTTCATTTTGGTCTTAAGGGCTAGATTTTCATTCTCTAGTTCTGCTACTTTTTTCTGTATCTGCATGGATTCTTTTAGGTAATTCTGTAAGTACTGCATTTTTGCAACACACTGCTCAGTAACAGAATTGACTTTGGATGTTTTCTCATTTTCAAATATTATTGATCCTTGTTTTACCACAAATGGTTGCCTTTCTTTGTCTTTTATTTCACATTTTGTTGAGTCAATGAATGACAGTGTATGTCTTGGAACTCTGGAATGGAATTTTAAATCTGTAATATTCTTGCCGGTAATAGGGATTTCTTTATTGTTTTTCTCATTCTTCTTTCCCCTGTGTGTTTCACTCTTAGATAATTTTTTACATTTCCTACAAAAATTCACATGGAGTTTTGACACTGTTTCCCTGAGTGGGAGTAATTTGTTTACTAATGCCTCTAATTCTGAAATTCTCTTTGATTTTATATCTTCATTTAAGTTATTTTCTATATTTTCTTCCTTGATAAAATTAATTTTTTCCTTGTGGATGGGGGACAGGTCATATTTACTATTACTCTGAACATTTGTATCAGTTTTTAAAGTATGAAGTTCATTTGTAAGTGCCAGTTCCTTGTCGTGTGACTGTTGAAGGTCTTCCTTCATTTGTTTGATAGAATGGCAAATATTGTCTAAATTTTCACAAAATCCATGCTTGAGAAAAGGCACAGTAATTTTGGATTTGTCCAGAATTACTGTATCAGCTTGAGACATCACGTTTTGAGGTGCATTAGGCAGACAGCTATAAAGGTTATTATAATTCTTCAACATGTCAGAATTTTCTGAAGGGTTCATAATTATGCTTGAAGCTGAATTATCTGTTGAAGTTCTTAGAGTTAATATGTCCTTGAAATGTATCTGGGATGGAATATTTATACCTTGAGAGAGACTGTTGACATTATTGCTACTGAGTTTTTCTTCCATTGAATGAAGAGTCCTGGAATCCTCAAAATGATGACTTTTCTCCATAGAAAGGAATGCTTCTTGATTCTCTATAGGCTAGTAACAATAAAAAGCACACTATAAATGTACTATCACTTGCCACATGATCAACAAATTAAGATAATATTTTGTGGAAGGTTTATTTTTGCAAGCAAATGGACACTTTATTCATTTATACAGCAAAGAAGCCTAACAAGTATGATTCATTTTCTCCAGAAAATATAACAGTTGAGATCTGTAACTCTGGTCTTCACAATTTGCTTAGAAATCGTACTTATTTCCTTGGGGGTGGAGAACATTGGCCCACCCCTCAATTTCAGAAATAGAAATTTAGCACCTCTCAAGAGACCATCATAGATAGTTGGGAAAGATAGAAGCAATAGGTCAAATGGAAGTTGAAGGAAAATGAATATTTCTACTTCTGGGCTATTTGTCAACCTTAGCTTGCATTCCTAGTTTCAGGTGATTCTAGGGCTGGGACCATCCTGGAACTGTGAGTTCTAATCAGTATAGACACAGTGACTCTAGTTTGAACCTTCTCTAGGGAATTCACAGGTCTAGGTCAATCCTAAAAGTAGAGAAACTTGTTAAGTGGGCAGATAGGCTATAAAAACTGCCTTGTATTTTGTTTACTTGATAATCTAGGCATCTGGACTAAGTCCAATTCCCCTCACACACTCTCCTAAGGGAAACTTGATGTTGCAGAAATAAGGAGGCAAACGCACATCTTTTAGGGTTTTCAGGACAGGAATTTCCTTATTTTCATGTCTGAGAGTCCAATCACCCTATGAAGAAGAGGAAAATGTAAAATTGAAGATAAACTGGTTGTAGTAACATTTTTGAAGTACCTAAATATAGAATGATTTTGTACAGAATAACATTACCTTTTCAATGTGTGTATTGAATACTAGATTTTTCCCTGAGCTAAACTGTGGGTTTTCTACTTCAATAATACTTTTGTTCAATATTTCACTGATTTCAGACTGCACCTTTAAAGGATAAATTGAGAATGTTAGGTTTTATTTCAGATTTTTAAACTTATGAATATACAGGAATAATAGATATTGTAACTAAAAAATACCTTTAAATTTCCTTCATGTAAAAATTCCCTATCACATAAAACATACACTTACTTAATTTATTGTAATCTCTATAATTAAAGGAATCTTTAAGAAAATTATGCCTTTATTATGTGACTATAAAATCAAAGACTTAATTTAGGAAAATAAAATTTTATGAAGTATATTCAAATACTTTTAGATGTTTGATTTTTACATTGTTGAGTACATGAGAGACCTTTGGTGTCTGACATCAGAATGAAATCTATTCTGTCACCATCAGTCGTTGCCCTTTTCTTCCTATTTCCCTGCAATTGCTTCTAGTACAAGAATTATGCAGATGAAGTTTATACCAGGTCTTCTGTGAATATGTGTTGTTATGCAACCCCAATACTCATCCCCTAACCTTCTCTTAACACTGCCCTGTATTTCTTCTGGATAAAGTCCATGTGCCTTTGGTGGCACTGATCCCACTTGTAGCTCCAGGGGTGGCAGGTGACTCAGCTAACCAGTCAGAGCCCTGCCTCCATTTGAACAGTGATGGATTCAAGCATTGTGTATGACCCAATTTGGGACAGTCAGAATTAGGCCAAGAACTTCAGTATAAACCATTGAGAGATAAAGGCATGGTCTCTTCTATGACTGGAACCTGGAAAGATAAAGGCCTGGATTTTCTAGCAGCCCTTTAGCCACCATGTAGAGTCTGAGAGTCCATTGCTGTGGAAAGCAAACCAAGATAAGGAGTGCGACTGGCTCCTTGATGCACGAGTCCTGATCGCATGGAGTAAGCCATCCCCAAGTGAAAACTCCCTAGGATTGTCAGTTACCTGAGCTACTACTTTTTCCCTTAGTCAGTTTGGGTTAGATTTTATATCACTTATAAGAGTCCCTATTTGTAGTTATAGATAGGTAGCACTTTAAACATATGTTTTAAGAAATCAGTGAGGGCTATTTCTTTTTGTCTCATATCCAAATATAACAGAATATAGTTTTCTCTAAATTTTGAGCCTAGAAAATGTTTTTGACTCTATTTTATTATATTTTATATCAACTATTCAACTAATCAATGATCGTCAGCTTAGAAATGTGGGATGGTATCTTTAAATTTCTATATTTCCTATGTATATATGTATGTTAAATGAAACATACCATGCTGACATTCTGCAAGGTCTGTATTCGGAGAGCCTGAAATGATTCCAGTTGATGCTGAAGGACCTATAACAAAATTAAACAAGGCATGGGATTGAGTATTTTTAGGTAGTGAACATATACTTGAATTGTTATGATTTTTTCATATCCCCGAATTACCAGAAAGGATCACATGACTGTCAGGTGACTTACATTGTTAGTCATTCTTGCTAATTCTCCAATACATTTTCATGAAGATTTTGGTGGAAAACCCATGTACATTTAGGAAGTATTTATTCTGAAAAAGATCAGCCTTTACACAAGTTTTCAGAGAAAATACAATGAAATATACTCACTTTTAATGCTGATTGTGGTTGAATTTGATGTTCTGATTCTGATATGCAGCCATATTCTAGAAAGTAAAATTGAACAACCATGTGATTGAATTCTTAAGTTTTACTTTTAAACAACTGTAATGGAAAGCAATCTGCTAATATTCTTGGACAGTGAGATGAAGACAGTAAGAATCTTGATGTTTACATTAGGAATAACCTAATGCTAGTCACAGAATACGTTTAAGAACTAATTCTCACTTGACTTAAAATATCGACTTTAGGTTGTAATGGTGGTTTTACTTTTATAATAAACCATTAACTTGTAATGACAAACTTGGAACTCTCAAACATTCACATATCTTCTTTCTAGGAATATATATATATATATATATATATATATATATATATATTCACACACACATACATACAAATCCTCATGTTATGGGAAGACCCTTGGCAAACTACTGTATAGGTCTTAATGTCTATGAAACAGCAATGTGATGCTTTTCTTCCTTATCATGGAAGACAAGTTGGATTAACAGAGCATAATTTTTGTCATGCTCTTAAGTGAAGTACTATAAAGAGGCATGTGTTCCTTCCTAGAAAGTTTGACTACTTGCTTGCTTTGTAATTTTTTTTATTGGCTTCAGGTGTACAAAACAATGTAATAGTAAGACATTTACACTTCTCAGAAAGTGATAACCCCACTCCCCCAATCTAGTACCCCTCTGACATTGTATATAACTGTTACAATTCCTTTCACCCTATTCCTTATGCTGTACTCCATATCCCGTGACTATATATATTAAATTATAGTTGACATTCAATATTATTTAGCTTCAGCTTCAGGTGTACAGCGCAGTGGTCAGGCATCTACACTGTCCATGAAGTGGTCTCCCTAATAAGACAAATGCCCATCTGACACCCTACAAAATCTTTACAACATTATTGATTATATTCCCTAAACTGTCTTTCATATCCCCATGGCAATGTTGTGGCTACCAATTTGTGCTTTTTAATCCCCTCACCTTCTCCTTCAATCCCCACCCCCTGCCATCTGGCAACCATCAGTTTTTTTCTCTATATAGCTGAGATGATTTCTGTTTACTTTGTTCATTTATTTTATTCTTTAGATTCCACATATAAGTGAGATCATATGATATTTGTCTTTCTCTGTCTGACTTATTTCATTTAGCATAATGTTCTCTAGGTCCATCTATATTGTTGCAAAAGGTAAGATTTCATTGTTCTTTATAGCTGAGTAATACTGCATTGTATAAATGTACCACAGTTTCTTAATCAGTCATCTACCGATGGGCATTTCGGTTGTTTCCAAGTCTTGGCTGTTGTAAATAGAGCTGCAATAAACATAGGGGTGCATATATTTCTTCAAATTAGCGTCTTGGGTTATTCTGGATAGATACCCAAGAGTGGAATTGCTGGATCATAAGGTAGTTCCATTTTCAGTTTTTTGAGATACCTCCATACTGATTTCCACAGTGGCTGCACCAATCTGCAATCTCACCAACAGTGCACCAGGATTCCCTTTTCTCCACAAACTCACCAGCACTTGTTTGTTGATTTATTGATGATAGCCATTCTGACAAGAGTGAGGTGGTATCTCATTGTGGTTTTTATTTGCATTTCTTTAACGATTAGTGAGGTTGAGCATTTTTTCATATGTCTGTTGGCCATCTGTAATGTCCTCTTTGGACAAATGTCTATTCATGTCCTCTGCCCATTTTTTAATTGGGTTGTTTATTTTTTTGGTGTTGAGTTGAATGAGTGTTTTATAAATATTGGATATTAACCCTTTATCAGCTATATCATTGACAAATATCTTCTCCCATTCCGTAGGATGCCTTTTTGTTTTATTGATGGTTTCTTTTGCTGTGAAAAAACTTTTTAGTTTGATGTAATCCCATATGTTTATTTTTTTCTTTTACTTCCCTTGCTAGAAGGGATTCTTGCTTTGCATTTTTATTAAAGAATTTAAAAATCATTCAGTGTCCTGAATGAAATGAGAGTTAGGATAGAATGTGTCCCTAGGTTGACAGTTTCTGCCCTAAGAGAAGCTTTTGAAAGAGGCCAGCACATCTTCTCCTTGGGAATGACAGTCTGCCAGATTGCCAGATGTTATAGAAGCTGGTTGAAAAGTATAACATCTCCCCCCTCCTCACCATCTGGCCCTCATCACTGAGAGGGCAACTCGGGTTCAGAGCCTAGACACATTGAAGAATCCCATCTTCATCCCAGGGCAGGGAGGGGACAACAAGTCCATCTGGGTATTGTGCTCAGCTTTGCATCTTCCTGAGAGTGAAGTGAGAGTCTGAAACGTTCATCTCAGAGAGCTACAAAAAAACTCAAGTGAGGTCTGGACCAGTGTAGCAGAGATTCCCGAAGTTTTTCAGACTCTAAAACAAGCTCTTCTAATGAACTCAAAAAGATCAAAATGCAAATCAAAAAGAATCTGTCACCTGGAATCCACCACCCAGAACTAACTTGTTAATTTTATGTACACACCCTTTCCTATGCATATATGTGGAAAAAATAGAAATGATTTTAGAACAGTGGGATCCTATTATACATAATACTTTAAAATAAATAGTATTAAATTTATATTTACTTTAATAGAATAAAAACTGCAAATATCGCTAGTATACAGATTTTTTTTTCACTACATGAGAGATTATTTCCTATGAGATCACTCTAAACTAATAAAACTATAATGAAAAGGGTTAACGGATTGGAATTTCAATGGTTTTTTAATAACATACAATTCTTTTGTATTCAGTGTTGATTTACTCCCTGCCAAGGAAGGGAGTAAATTATGAGAAAATTAGCATTCTACTTCCTCCCACAGCTACCCCCCACTTTTCATGATATTTGCTAGTTATATTATTTTCACACTGTGAAGTTTTATGATGTTTAATTTTGTTCTGTAACCATAATTTCCACAAAGCCATTTAACACAAAGACAGGATATTATTATTGTAAATATTTTAAGCCTTCGACTTTATTCTTAATGGATTTACTGTTCAAAATTCCATCGCCTTCCTGCACCTGCAGCAACAGCCTCCCTCTTCTGCACGGATTTCTTGTCTCTTTAGGAGGACTTGCAAGTTCAAGGCTAAAGACAGAATTCCTTCTGCTAACACCGATTAAGAAATACGGAGCCAAAACGAATCTAAAGGCTTAGTCAGGGGATATAATAAATAAATGTTTTAAAAGAAAGAACATGGGATTTATATGCTGCTTCTACATGTGTTTCTCCCTCCATCGCTTCCATCTTTTTTGACCACAGTATGTGTGCACGGTTACCATGCTGCTGCTTCCCCTACGGCTCATGGGCAGCCTGAGCAATTCTGCTCAGTATTTCTGTTTTTTCTTGACATCCTTCCCTGAGTCCCCTTCGCCTAGCCCTCCGAGATACTGTTTTTGGAGCCAGTGTATTTTCCTATGCATTTTTCTACGGCTTCAAAGTTAGGTGAGGGGACCTTGGAGGGGGGAACATTTGTAGCTGTGTGAAGCTGTTGTTGGAGCATGTGATCTTTGGTGGTGTGTGGTTTGCTGTTCCCTGAGACTGTTAGAAGCCTAGGGGGAGGTGTATCCTATTTCCATAGAGAAATACTCTCTTGATGCGGGTGATTCCCTCAATTCCGTATGTAGTCCTGGAACTAAGATTGCCACATAGGATTGTGCAGGTTGTTCACTGCACAAAAGAATATGTGCGGGCTGAAATTCACCCCGTGCACTGCTCCAATGAGTTAGCTGCACCCTGTGTGGGTCTGCAGCCACCTAGTGTAGGGTGTACCTTTTTCTAATCCACACAAAGACAACTTCATGGGCTAGTGGTAGCCCTGCCCAGAACCTTTTCTTTCCTCTGGGCAAAGTAAGTGACTGTTGATCAGCCTGTAGGTTTACCCCTCTGTTCTAGCAGCAGCTCCTCTACTCTGATAATAGAAAGACACAGGCATTTCCTCGGTCTTTTTGTATTCCCATTTTGGGGTTGGGAGATTAATGAGTATTTTCAGGATTTCGAATTGCCTTATTGCTTCTGAAAGTCAGAGGCAGAGTTAGGGGCCAGGCTAGAGTTTGCCAGAATCTTCTTTTTTTACCTTTGGCTTCCACTTTCTAATTTTATGACCCGAGGTGGGAGGGTGCCCCCTTCTTTATTCAATTGCTGCTGGTGACATTTTTACTGGTTTTCTAGCATTTTTGCTGTTGTTGTTCATTTCATTTGGTACTGGGTTAGGGGTAGGGAGGTCTGGGACCTTGCTTGGCTCTAAAATCTCTATGTGAAAGTCTAGAATAATTATTATAAGTGAATGATTTAGCCTTAAGTAATGTTTCATGTTTTAGTGGTTCATTCTCTTCACATCATTCATTGAAATATTGGTGTCCACTCTGTGGTGTGCTCTATTGTAGCTACTATAGACCCAGCCATGACTAAGACAGCCCAAGCTCTTGCTCTCACGGTGCCTTCATTCTAAAGGAATAAGCAGAATTTAAAAAGCAAACAAAGAAATAAACAAGATGCTTTTCAAATTGTGATAAAAAAATAGGCTAATGTGACAGTGAGTGAAGATGGACACAGCACTGGAGAGGGTGGTTAGGAAAGGCCTATCTGGTTATCTGAGGATTAAGCTGAGACTCCTCAGTGATAAGAAGGGCCCACCCTGTGAACATCTGAAGGTAGAATTTGGAGCAGAGGAAACAGCAGAGTCCTGAAGCAGAAGAAGTTATCTGTGTCTGCAGAACAGAAGGAAAGCCAATATGGCTGCAGATGGGAGCACAGTACGACAAGTCAGTGGAGGAGATGGACTAGACACTGTTGGGACTTGCAGGTCAACCTGAGGGGCTTAGCTTTTATTTTAAGTGAAATGGGAAGCTTTGGGGGGTTTCAATCAAGAGTACGATTTGATTGACTAAAAGTGGTTACAGGTTACTCTACTGCATGATAACGGATGATAGGGTGGCAACTGCAGGACTATTGCAATAATTCAAGTGAGAGATAAAGGTATCTTGGACCAGAATGGCAGTGGGGGAGATGGAGAAAAATCAGTGGATTCGTAATGTGTTTTGGAGATAAAGACAGCAGCATTGCTAGAGGATTAGATGTGGCCCAAAGACAAGAATGAAAATGCTCCTTAGGGTTTTGGTGAGACCAGATGTATGAATGATGATGTCATTTACTGAAATGGAAAAGAATGGAGTAAGAACATATTTTAGGGAAAACACTTTTAGATATGTTAAAGTTAAGTTTTCTGTTACACATCAAAGTGTCTGTCGAAGTGTATTTCTGTCGACAGGCAGTTGGATATTCCAGCCTCTGGTTCCGGGGAGTGGTTATGAACACTGTATTGGACAGTATGGTCACCACTGCTAGCCTGGACAAGGGCAGCTTCTGTGCAGTGACAGGCGCAGAGCCCAAATGAAGTGATTTGGGAAGAGAATGGAACGTGAAGATTTGTTCAGCATTGAGTATAGGCAATTCTTTCTAGTTTTACTACAGAAAGGAATAGAGTGCCTAGTGGAATAGGGTGCATGTTGGAAGAGATGCGAAAGTCAAGAAGGATGTTATTAACCATGGGAGATTCTAACATGCCTGTTTGCTGCTGGAATCCTATAGTATGATGGGAAAAGAAAAATAATTCCAGAGAATGAAGGAGGCTAATTGCGGAAGCTGAGTACTTGAGATTTCCAAGAGCAATAGGATCTGGAGGAAATGACCTTTGATTGAGCAGCGACAACCCTTTCATATAAATGGGGAAGGAGAATATGGGTACCCAAGTAGGTAGGTTAGCGAATTTGAAGGCTGAAGGTGAGAGAGTTTGGGTCTGATTGCTTGTTTTTTTCTTATTGCGAGATCATGTTACAAGTTGAGAGGTAGTGGCTAGTGGTGCTGGAGATTTGAGGAGACAAGAAGAGTGAAATAGTTATCTTGGAGAGGGTTTGAAAAACAATTTTCTGGGAAACAAAGTACCGTATTTCCCCATGTATAAGATGCACCACTTTTCAAAAAATTTGGGATCTAAAAATTGGGTGCGTCTTATACAGTGGTTGTAGATTTTTTTTAACTTGCACTTCCCACTTTTTTCATGCTTGTTTTTGCGCTCATACAACCACTGTATAAGATGCACCCAGTTTTTAGACTCCAAATTTTTCGAAAAAGTGTGCATCTTATACATGGGGAAATACGGTAAGTTTTCCAAATAGCATTGAGATCCATGGTAGGACTCAGAAGTGAGTGTTTTTCTCAGGCAATGTTCAGATGATTCAGTGATGATACAGGGTAGGCAGAGAGTTGGATTTTTCCATTTTTAAAAGCTATTAAAATAATTGTTTTGTTTTTTTTATGAGTTTCAGAGACATTTGGGAATTTTACTTATTCCCAGAGGAAAGAAAAATGTAAAATTCAGCAATGCTAAAAAACCCCATAGAATTAGGCGATTCTAGAATTGGAAGGGAAATTATAAAAAATTCACAGGACAGAGAACACAATCACACGTCACTACTTTTTAAGTCCCTGCTAAATGTACAATATTGGGAGGTATACAGACTAGGTGGAAGATTAGGTCTCAGCCCTGAATAAGCTTATACTCTTGGGAATGCAAGAAATATTATTCATATTAAATTCTCTAGCTGTTTCATATTTAAGTGTTGGAAGTGAAAAACAAGATAATTACCAGTGGAATGACTTCTGAGGTGATTAAGTAAAGATATGGGGAATTTATTCTGAAACTTGGAGAAGATTATGTCATATTCAGTGTACACAGAAAGATTAAGTGTAGCTAACAGACCAAGGCAAACAAATGAGTTTTAAACATGTGAAAGATTTATACGATCTGAAGACACTCTGTAGTCAAAGCTTTGTGATTCTCAGGCTCAAACCCTGAGCTTTGCTATGACAATTCAGATTAATTCCTAGAAGTAACTCTTTTACAAAGCTTTATAAGATGTGGCACGATCTGCATGGGGCATTGTTGTGGGAACCACGGGCTTGAATCCTGGTATTACACACACTTGCTATGAGGGATAATTCTACAGTGTTTAGTGCATGGCACATAGCACATACTCAAGAAACATTTAATCGTTACTGCAGAGGCAAGGGCATTATCAATATGATGATGAGTCAGTAAATTTAAAATCTCCAATTGAGATGGAGAGGAGGATGGCTGCTCAAAACTCTCCAATGCTTCCCATTTTGCTGAGACTAAAACCCCAAATCCTTACACGGAACTACCAAGTTTCCCCTCTGAACCATTCTCCTACGTCCCCCTTACCATTCTGCTCCAGTCACGCTGGCTGTTCCCAGACATGCCAGGCATGCTCCCACCTCAGGGCCTCTGCAGTTGCTGTTCTCTGCCTGGAAAGCTATTGCCCTAGAAATCCACATTGATTACTCCTTTACCTCTTCAGGCCTTCACTCAGGTGTCACCTGATACATGAGGTGACATTTAAAATAGAATTGCATACTCCCCGCCACCTCTGCCTTTCTTTTCTCTACAGGATTTGCTCCCATCCTCACACAATACCCTTTATTCCCCCCACTAGAGGGCAAGCTTCTTGTGGGCAGGGAATTTTCATATTTGTTCACTGTTGGATCTCCAGTACTTAGGACAGTACTTGCTCAAAAATATTTGTTAGATGAATAAATGAATGAATGAATGAGAGAATGTATGAATGAAAGCTTGCATAGAACAGGGGCACTTAGCACACTGGAATAGCACACTGGACATCCTGAAGTTGGAAAGTATCTCTCACATCCCCATTTCAATAAATTGAGGGTTAATTAGGCTAACTACTTGTTTTTTTAAAGTCAAAGAGAGCTCGGCAATGTTATATAACTTCTTAGAACTCGGCATTATTTATGCAAATCAGGTCGCCATTCTGTTGGCTAGTATTCAGTCAATGCATCACTTGATGACAATGAAGTGCAGCTAGAACAGAAAGAGGGGAGGGAACGAAGTCATATCTCCCAATTTTGCCTGTAGTTGTATGCAGGATGTCACTGCCATCCTTGGCAGCGCCTGCCATAGAAAATATAAATCTGTCAGTTATTGACTACCTGTCCTTGCTCGATCCTGTACTTGTAACCACAAAGGCAGTAACTTTTAAACAAGCTCATATATGCTATGTGCATGTAACTTCATTTTCTATAAACGCTGGCATCTTTCTCCAGAGCCCTAACTCTCACTCATGTTAGCGAACACATGATTGCCAAATTAAGGCACCTCAATCCCTTCTGACCTTAAATGCTGTCTTTGAGGTATTGAGTTGACTCAACGTTTGAGCTCTCTATGAGGACTTTCCCCCGCTGTTCGGGGGTTCCCATTACCCCTCCAGATTGCACAGGGATACCTGCATAACCTCATGGATGCTGGGGTGCAGAAGAGCAGAGAGGGACAGGTCAGGGCACTGCCTGCTGTGCATGGTCCTGCTGGCTTCCACGGAGATGCTGCTTATCCTGCTGGGCACTGGGTATCCGGTTGTCTTATGTCTCCTTAGGTGTGGCTGCTCTAGCCCCTTCTTCCAGGGCCCTTGACAAGGCATTTGTGAAACTCCTGGATTTATAAAGGTGTGGCAATCCTGTCCTGACCTCCGGTCTCTTGTTCACCACTTCTCTCAGCACCTCTGTCTGGATTACCCACATGCCACACGTGGGTATGGGCAACCGGGGCTCCGAGTTTGGCCCATCAACCTAGATGCTGCCTTCCACCCACAGTGCTCTGCTACTTCCCTGGCATGCCATGCTGAACACCAGGCCCCTCTGAGAGGTGTGTAGCCTCCTCGGGCGTCTCTCAAGGAAGACTCCAAACTCAAAGTTCTCAGATCCCCCTAGCTGGATATTTCTATATATCTTATTCCTGGTTTATGTGGAGCTTGAAAACTGGAGTTCATTGCTTATTTCAGACACAATCCCCATACAATCGATATCTTGTAGTCCACAAATATTTATTAGAAAAAGTATTTCTTTTGGAGAAAGTATATATCTTTTCAATGTCTCTAAAAAATCAACAATTCTTTTTTGGTATTCAGAGAATCAGTAAAGTAGAGCATGGTGGTTAAGGCCTGGGCTCTGGAGCCACCCTGCTGAATACTGGCTCTATTACTTGCTACATGTGTGACTTTGGGGAGTTCATTAACCTTTCTTCATTTCCTCATTCAGTTTCCTCATTTGCAATATTGGGATAATGGTAGTACCTACTTTATAAGGTTGTGAACTTAAACAAGTTGATACATTTAAGTGCTTACAACAATACCTGGCGCAAAGCGATGTGCTGTGTTAACTATTTATTAGTGCCATAATGATCGTTACCGGAAGTACCTATGCACTGGAAGCACACAAGTCGGGCAAGTGGATTTAGGCAACGTACCCGTTACCTGTAGTAAAAGACAGAAATATCACTGCCATTGGAGCCTTGGCCTTGGAGGTTTTACCTGTTTCACTGCCACCGCTTTCCTTCACCCCCTCAGAGGAATTTAGGATCTTGGACGCTGAAAGGAGAACGCAGTCAACTTCATCTCCTTCCTCAAGATGCTTTTCTGTAACAGAACCATAAATGGGTTCTGGTTTTGTTGGAAGCAGGGAGGCGAGGCGTGGGGATTCGGGATGCCGACGCCCTAAGCGGCCACAGGAGGGCGTGCTAGAGCCACGTAGCAGCGGCTGGACAGGGTGGCTTGGTGGCCGGAGGCAGCAGGGCTCAGGGAAGGAGGCAGCGCTTTTCTCCTAGGGATAAGCAGGATGTGTGGTGTGGCTACTCCAGAACGGACCCATCTTGGGGTGAAAAGGCCGGGGTCGGAGGAGGCGGATACCTCCATCACTGCCCACGGGTCCCCCTCAAGGGACAGTCCTCGGCTCGGCTCTTACCCGGGCTCATTTTTGCTTCTTAAGCTTTCTTTCCAACTGCCTTCCCCTATGCATTCCTCTCAGCCGCTTTACGCCGGGGCAGCCCGTTGCCTGGTAACGGGGTGGCTGGGACGCCACCAGCGGATGAGGGGCACGCGGAGGGGTGGGGGTGAGGAGGAGGAAGGTACGCGCGGAGGTCCGCAGTACTGGGTCCGGGAGGGGATGCTTGCCCTGCAAGAGCTATGCCCTCCCCAACCCAGGAACAATCTCACTAGGGCGTTTTTCTCTCGTCGTCTTCCCTGATGACCCAGAACTTGATCTTTTGTTGTTGTTGTTGTCATTTTTTTACTTTAAAATTTTTATTATATTTATTGGAGTGACAGTAATAAGATTATATAGGTTTCAAATGTACCGTTTTATAATGCATCATCTGTGTATTGCATTGTGTGTTCACCACTCAAAGTCAATTCTCCTTCTGTCACCATTTGACCTCCTTTACCCTTCTACCTCCCCCCTACACATTCCCTTTTCCTTCTGGTAACCATCATACTCAGACTTGATCTTGATCAGTCTGACTAACACAGCACCTGTTGGACCAAAGCTGTGTGGAGAACGGCAAATGTTTGGAGACAGACAAGCACCTGGAAACTTTTCCCTTTTTCCGTATTCATTGTTTTCTTTACTGTTTGATTTCTTTTATTTCAACCGTCCATCGAGTAGTTTCAGGATTTAGGAGTTTGAGCGGCCCAACACTAATATTATGAAAGGACTTTTGTTTGCTGTGGTTAAAAGAAGGCCCCCTATTTCCAATAATGAACTTAAAATAACTATGTATGGAAATATACACATTGAAGCTGTTGCAGAGACGCTGGTATTCATTTGTTGAAGCAAGGTAATTTCCTATGCACCTGGGTAAACCACTTGCAAAAGATGGAGGTTTCCTTGGAGGTTGGAGCTCCTTCAGCTAAAGATTGATTGGCAGGGCCGCATGACTGCGCTCTTTGTGCTGCTCAGAAAATGGTGCTCTTTAAAGTAAAATTTTTAAATGAGTATTTATTACTTATTTTGCAATAACAACCATTACAGGTAGAATACAAAATACTTGAAAATTCAAATTTTAAGTCACCGTAAGGAATTTAAAGTCATGGTACAATAATTTACTATATAATACATATATGGCTTGCTTTCATGGAAATGAAACTCTATGATCATATCAACGTTTACTTGCTGTAATATAGAAATGGTCTGAAGAAGATTTGACAGTCTTTCTTTTGGCATGGTAGACAATTTCAATAAATTGTAGTTTTGAAAACTTATGTTCTCCATTGGTGATTGATATTGATGAAGTTCATATTTTATGGAGAGCTGCAAAAGTTTTCAGCAATGTGTCTATTAAATTACCACTGTCAATAAATTGCAGTATTTTGAAGGGAGAATGTAAGTTAAAAAGCCACTACACAATATCTCATAACCCCTGGCTACATTGATGTGTATCTTATAAGGATACTCTTCAACATGGGCACAATACAGCCATTAAAATCTGGAAATTAACGTCGATACATCATTACCCTCTCATCCTCAGATCCCACTCATTTCACTGGTTCTCCCAATAATGTCCTTTAGAAAAGCAAAAGGATCCAGTCCAAAATCTTGTGTGCCCTTAGTTGTCATGACACGTCTCTTTACTCAGAGTCTCATGGACTCAGCATTTCCTGTTTCATTCAGTGGGTTATAATGGATTATCATCTGTTGTGAACGTGATTTCTAGTGTTGCTTAAATTTCCCTAATTGGGTCAGTGGGAATTTCTTTAGCTGGCCTATGTGTACTTTTGACATATCTCCTTCATTACTAGAGTACGTCTTCATTTTCTTGATATACCCAGGTGTTCTAGGCTTATTCTATACTTTGCCTGCCCTAGCCTTGAAATCAGCCATTTCTCCAAGGAGCTGCCTTGGTTCCTTTCAGAGAAGAATGGCTTTTAGAAGCCAAGATGTGAGCATTAAGCATGCACATAGCTGCTCCTAGGCGATCTTAATGGATAGAGCTAGGGAATGGCTCTATGTGTACTTATGTACATAAACACATACAAACACACACGCACCTTCACATCCGTATTTATTTCTGTATCTATTTATCTATATTGAGGGCCATGAGTTCATGGCACCTCTAGTTCTATCTGACATCACAGCGCTCTTTCCAGTTTTCCATGTTTGTAATTTCCCTTAACAACAGTGAGAAAGTTGACTCCCATTATTCTCTCTCTCTCTCTCTCTCTCTCNCTCTCTCTCTCTCTCTCTCTCTCTCTCTATATATATATATATATATATATATATATATATATATATATATATATATATATATGTTTACTTATATGAGCAATACCCTTGTAAATATCTATTTTGTCAACGCCAGTCTCTCACCATAGTCCCTACATGGACGCCCTTGTCATCCCGCTTGGGTTCCAGTACCCTGCACTGTTCCTTCCCTCCTACTCTGCTGTGACTCAGGACCTTATACTCGGGTCTCCCCTCCATCTTACCCCTCTTGGGCTCTCTCACCTTATGCTGAGCCTCCTCTCTGGGTAGAAGACCTGCACATCCTCCCTGGGCTCTGACACCACCTGTCAGCCATTCCATGCAGGGCTGCGCCTCTCACCCCACTCCTGCTCTGCACGCTGATGCCCGCGCTCCCCACACGGGGGCGCTCTCCTTCCCCTCCTTGGGATTGGACACACAAAATTCTCTTCTGCCAAGGTCATGAAATGATTCTTCCATGCTTTTTTATAAGAGCTGTATTGTTTGACCTTTCATATTTAGATTTGCTAGTCATCTGAAATTGATTTTTATAGAGTGAGGTAGGTGTCAATATCCATTTTTTATGGGTATTCAATTGACCCCCCATTTATTGTAAAGAATATAATTCCCCATACCAGCTCGGTACTTCAATATATTGTAAAATGTGTTTTTCTTATGTGTGTTCTCATCCAACCTTCTTGACCCTAAAGTTCCTCATTGCCAAGTTTCAAGTAAAATGATTATTTGCTTGCCAAGAACATATATTAGAATTAGATTAAAAGGGTACTATAATGAAATTTCCTTTAGACTTCCCAAATGGGGAAAACCCCATTCTCTTGTGTGAGATCAGGAGAACTGGTTCTCTTGAGATTCTCTCAGGCTCTTTGGCTGCTGTTAAAAACTCAGTATCTTCTACAGCACTCAAAATACTAATAGATAGAAATAAAGGGTCAGTGATGTTCAGAAAAATATGACAAAAATATGCATTACACTTATTGGGACCCACCTGTTCCTGCTCCTGTAACACTGAATGGTTGGTTCATTATCCCATTTGAAATCAGTAATAAGTTTAGAATTGACACTGACTCGGGATGTTAAATTTCCTTCCTTCCTTAATGTAATTATTCTCCTAATAATTAAGCTATTGGTCAAATATTCTCATTTATGGTGTTGAGAATTGTGGAATTTTATGAAAAAGGTCATTTTCCAGATGGGGAAAAACTGAAACATGGGAAGGTATAGGAACTTTTCAAAAACACTGTAACTGGTCAGTGCTAGACTTCCTGATTCTGAAACCCTGCCCAAATCAGTTTGTTTATTTTCCCATAACAAATTATAGTTTCATGAGGCAGGACAATATTTCATCTAAATTTTACAAAAGTATAGAGGTAAATATAGTTAATGCTAGAGCTACAAGTTCCTATTTCCTGATATGTATCATACTTCACCAGTACAACCTTCTCAGTGTGGTGAGACTGTTTCTGTTTCATTCTGCCTCATATGAGGAGCATATTATGTTAGAGGGATATGCTTTTCCTGGTCACAACTGCCCTGGAAATATCTGCCTTTTTTTTTTTCAGCTGTGAAGTTCATTGCTAAAGGAAAGAATTAAAATCCAAACTACCAATTAAAAAAAAATCTGTGAGTCCCAATATTTCAAAATCTTCAAATAGTAGTTCCTCTTAGAGAATCCACTTTCACCTGTTGACTAACAGCTGCAGGTTCAAGAATCTGGAGCAAATTCAAGAGCACTGCACAAAAACAAGCTGTCAAATCTATTCTTAGCAATGTATTACCAGACTAACATACTTTTGGATTTTTTAACTTCAGATCTTTTTTTAAGCCTGAGATCACAGGGGTATCATTAATCATAGCTGAGATCTATAGTAGTATGAGAAAGTGACCAAATTGCTCCTAGGATACAGTAAATTTGGGCAATTGTCCTAAGCCTAGTGCTTTGGTCAGAGAAGGCGACCTTTGTGCTGGTGACTTAGGAAGTCTGAGGTGGGTAGTAGGCCTTCAGCAGCCCAAAGGCTTGATCCAAGTGCAAACACCTCCACTTTAAGTTTCCTTTAGTATTCATTTTAACCTAATTACATCTATGTAGGAGATTGAACCCCCAACTCACTAAAGATAGTCACTAGCTTTGGATCTTAGGGAGTTGATTGCTGTGTTAAGAGGACTTTTGGTGGGGATACTGAGAAAGTGGAGTTGGTCTAACTCTAAGACGTTTGGTGTGCTAAGGGGATAGACATAGAGAAACACTGGTATCAAGGTAGCTTGAGAAGGAATAGATGTTAGGGCAAGAGATATTTTCAGAATGGAAGAGTATTTGAGCGCGCCTTTAGGCTGAGAAGAGTCAGTGACAGAGAGAGACTGAATGGGAAAAATAAGTTCAAAAGAGAACATGAAAAATAGAATGATGGACATGATTTAGACCAAGAAGACAAGAGGACTAACAGTCTCTTTGGGCATGTGCAGGTTTCCCGTTCTGTAGAGATGATAGGGAGCTTCCTCCCACTTTTCCAGAGACTGAAGCAAAGGGAAATACTCTTTCTCCGGAACAGGGCACTTAGGTCAAATGAGCTCTCTGTGGAGTTTACTGAGGGTGAGTAAGTTGTTTATCGGTTTGAGTAAATTCAGGGATACTAGTCTCTGTATCCACTTCCAGACTGAGGAGTCTTTAATTCAGCTCCCAATATGTGGCACTCCCGAACCTTCCTGGTGCGAAAGTGCTTTCTGGTTTTTAGATACTACAGCAGCTGCACTGAGTCAGGCCTCTTGGTCCCATTAATAATAGTAGTGTGTTTCTCTTGTTATAATAAAGATACCATTCATGGGTACTTTCAACGGAGCTAATGAATTTGCAGTAATAAATTCTTCCTTGACTTCTACTGTGAGCCATGACATGAGTCAGAGGTGGTATCATCCATGACCATGGAACAGAGTGAAACGTCCAAATTGAACCAAGAACCTGGCCGCGCTAAATGAAATGGCCAGCTAGTTAACACTGATAAAGACAGTGTCAAGTACAGATCAATGACTGAGCTGGAAAAAGTCTCAGGGATCCTCTAGTCCGTCTCCCTTATTCTTGAGGTGAAGTTGAAGTCCAGTAGCAGAGCTGCAGTTAGAATCCAGGTCCTTTTCCTCTTTTCATGATAAGTTTTCTTACTTACTCACTACTTAATTAAATCATTGCTCAATATTTTTATTATTCTACACTACTTCCCAGCACTCATGGAAGAATTGATTTTTATTATAAAGAAAACAAACATAGACCCTAAGTTAACATTAATATAAAGGAAACGATACAGTACAAAGAAGAAATAGGTTTAAAGATTTCCTAACCATATTATTTATTACTAAGGGAATATTAGTTTAAATACTGGGTTTTTTTTTTCCTATGTGTTTGGCACTATGCAAAAGTTAAATTTTCTGAAACGTTTCCTCATTTGTAAAATATTTATTTGGCAAAATTGTAAAGATTAGATATAATGTATGAACATGACCAGTATTATATTATGTCAAGAATTTTGTAAGCATTCAATTAAAATCTATATACTGAAATAAAGTACATATAGTCAATTGAGGGACCTGAGTCCTCTTTATAGCTACAAGATTATAACAGAGAATATTGCCAGTGAGTCTCTGGTGGAATTGATGTAGGATATTTCTTGTGCTCGGGTCATGGCCTCGTGAAGCCAAAGAATGGAGACACGGACGAGAGGTAGAGTTTGTAGCAGAGGGTGGTTTTATTAAAGGAAGAGAAAGGTTACAGCTCCTGAGTGGGCAGGGGTACCCGGAACTGGGATGCCCACTAGCTAAGGTAAAAGGCTGGAGTTTATGTATATATATGTATATATATATATATTATTATTATTTATTTATTTATTTTTTTTTTGGTCAGGGAGGGAAAGGGAATGCTGGAATGCTGGTGCCTGTCATGAAGGTGTTTATCAGATTTGTTTTGTTGCTCAGCCTTGGGGAGTCCTTTCATAATGTCCTGCAAAATGGCTTTGTTGCTCTGGGGCATGGTTGATGTCTCTGTTCCAGTATGAGGGAGTTATCTTAATTTTGAAAGAAATGGCTAGTGTAAAGGAATGGCCATTTTTTTTTATCTTTGCTCAGTCTTCCAAGGAATTCCTCACTGCCTGACATTATACTAATTAACCTGTCTTAGAGCCAGCCATATGAACTCAGGCTTTTAAAATTGCCTTCCTCAAATGAGGATAAATTCCAGTAAACTTCACGAACCTGATCAGTGTGAAACATCAGCTCTCCTGGGATCATCAGGAACAGGAATCGAGTTCTGTGACTCTTCCAGCTAGAAATAGTTGTGCTCATCTAACTGGCTCTTGAATTTTTACACCAAAGAATAATTATTGATAATATTACTTAAAAACTTGAAAGTAATTATGATAAAGCAACCACTTCTTGTAGATGCTTTGTTTAAAAATTAATCACATAAAACATTCTAATTATATTTAAAATGTCAATTTGTAAATATAGATAAAAGTATTCAAAAATCCATTTTGTTAAGCCTAGTATTCAACATCTCTTACTTGGTAAGTGGTGCTCAAATAAATACAGAGGGTCCCCCAAAAAATGTATACACATTTCAAGAAAGGAAAAAACTGTATTAAAATTATACTGATGGTAGCCACTTGGAGCACCTCTTGTATTTGCAGAGGTCAAACGTGACTTGTATTCCTCTTTTGTTATCGGTATATATTGAGTATTACAATTTTAATACAGTTTTTTCCTTTCTTAAAATGTGTATACACTTTTTTAGGCACCCTCTGTATTTACTAAGTGCTCTCCAAAACGAATGCTTAAGAAAATTCTCTTGAAATAGTCATGTAGATCAGGTAAGTGGTTTATTTACTTGAATTACCTGAATATCTTCATTCTTCAATGTTCCTTTTAATGCTTCTGATTCAGATGGCATAGCATACATAATAAAAGAACATTGGACCATGGTGACATGAAATAAAGAGTAATGGTTATAAGTAGCAGTTTCCTAGGACTGAAATCAAATCTGTTCAAAGGACAAGTTGACACATTTTTGCAACTAAAGTTGTTGATAGAAGGGACCCACAGCTCCATTCTGCTTATCTTGGGAAGTTCCCATGTGGGACAAACTTTAGATTATCTTATGTAGACGTGAGTCAAATGTTTGTGTGTCACATTAACCATTAGCTTTACTCTGTTTACATAGTTGCAAACATATGTGATAACTA